GTGATTTTTATGGTATGTGAGTTGAATTATACATTAATATAAAAAATAACCCAAATAGTGGACATCGTCATGGTCATCCTCATTTCAGCAACGAGGATGTTAGGTTGGCACGGGAAGGTCAGCATCTTGCAAATGCTACGTCAGAGCTAGCCAGCCATGGAGCCTTGCTCCTAAGCCTGCAGAGCATGGTGTGAATTAGGGGGGGAGAGCAGAGCTCCTCCCACTCCATGGGGGAGGGGGACAGGGTGGACGGCTGGGCTGGTAGGACCGGGTGTCAACACCAGGCACGTTCGTGCCCCAGGAGAGGAGACATTCAACTGACAAGTGCTAACGTCCGTCTGTGCTCAGGTGAATTGAATCGATCAGGAAGGCAAGCATGCAAAACACCAAAGCCAGTGCCGACCCTGATCTGGAAGGATTGCTCTGGGGTGCTGGGCATGGGTACAGAAAACCCAGAGAGACTCTATTTTAACACGGTTGTTCTGAGTCACTTTACAGAGAAGACACAATTAATGAGTTAAGTACATCGGCCCTCATGGGCACATTGCTCCTTCCTGGTCTGGCACACAGAGAGAATCTCAGCTGAGCCATCACTGCGCAGAGCCCATTCGTTGCCTGCTTTCTCGTGTAAACCAGGTACCAGCAGCTCCGGCTACGGTCTGGGCCAGCCCTTCTTCCTACTTACCGTCAATACCAGATACGGAAAACGGTGCCCCTTTGCGTTTGCACAAAAATAATGAATGGTGTAAACTTCACTGAAGCTTTGAAGGGAGATCGGAAGAAGGGAGATTTGTCCACCTGTTCACACCACACCTGTGCACCCCTGCTGGACATTTTTGCCCTCCTAAGTCCCTTCTCTGTGATTCCATCACAGGGGTCCCCTCTCCAGTCAGGCCCTTGTCCCCCACCCCACACAGCCTGCCTTACTCACTGTTTCTCCCTCCCAAGAACAGCATCAGGTGCCAGTCCTGGCCCTGCCGTTTGTGAGTCCTGTACACTTGGCATGTTCCTCTCTCTGCCTCAGTTTCCACATCTGTAAAGTGGGGGTAATAGTACTTCCTCCGAAAGGCACTGTGGGCATTAAACGAGTTGATACACTTGCGGAGCCCAGCACGGCACCTGGCACGGTGAAGGCTCTCTGCAGGTCCCGTGCTGCTGTAGCACGGCAGGTCTGTGACGAGCTCTGCTGCAGAGCAGGGGCAGGGCCCAATCTGCCTCCCTGGCTGTCACTCCGCTCCCTCCAAACACGCAGAGTGCCTTCCCCGAGGGGAATTTTGGTGATTAAACATCCTTCTCGAGCTTTCTCATCCCTCCTGCCATGCTGACAAGGCACCGAGGCCAGGGCCATCTGGTGCACGACCCTGGGAAGGACCTGCCCGAGCCCGTCATGGGTCCTGGGCAGCCTGTGGAAGGCCACGAGCTGAGGGAAACCGAAGCTGCCTCCCGGCCACAGCTGGCCGCACCAGGCACCGGAGTCTGGGCCAAAGGCAGCGGCATGCCTTCCCCCTTCCCCATGAGGGAAGCCAAGCCTCTCTGGAGTGTTGGTGGGGATGTCACCCGGCCAGGCAGCTCCTCATGGGATGGTAGCCAACTGACCCAGTCATGCACGGGCTCGCTCTTGGCTCGCCTGGCTGCTCTTATGGAGAGGGCGGGTGGCATCCCTGACCGTGCGGGGACATCTCTCTAATTCTGCCTGTGCAGCCTGGGCAGGGGCAGGCCCCGGTGACCCAGGGACCACTGTCCCCAAAGGCATAGCTCCTCTCTGCAGCATAGGCACCCGGCAGGTGTGCTGCCACCTACGTGGCAGGAGAGGAGGGCACGGGCTGGATGGCTTCTTAACGCCTCCAGTTCACAACGGGCTGGACATCCCCCTTGGGTGCCCCACGGGCTCCCCAGAGCAGGGCTGGCTCTGCCGGGGCATTGGAGTGGGGACCAGGGGAGGACGACACAGGCCCTCCCCAGAAGAGCCCCTGGCTGCAAGATGGCAGAGCTGGCCACCTGCGGGGTCACCCCCCCCACTCTCTGTGCCCAGAGGCGGAGCTGCAGGCGCCCCGTGAAGCAAGGCTGTCTGAGCTGCCGAGGCAAGATCAAAGCTTTCCTGCCCAGGGCTAGGTGACAGGGCTGACCTCTCTCGAGGAAATGAAGGGTTTGCTGGGTGTGGGCAGAGTGTGTGCTCCTAAGTCACGTGGGTGGCACTGTGCTGCAGCCCTGTCCTTTGATGTTCCCCCCCCTCCAGTTCCATTTAAATAGTCAAATCCCGTCCTCCTTCCTGAGCGCGGAGGCCCTTCCCCAGCAAGGCTGTGCGGGGTTCCTGAGGCTGCAACACACCTGCCTCCACCATCTCCTGGAGCCCTGGCTGGCTCCTCGCCCACCAGAGGGGACCTGGGAGGAAACTCCTGCCACTAGGGCCCAGGCTGCATGAGGTCTGGGCACCTGAGGGCAGGAAAGGGGGACATGAGGTCCCCTTACCTCCTCCCTGCCCCCCTGAGGCCCCATGCCCTCCATCCCATCCTGCCTGGGGACTGCCTGCGCCTTCTGCCCCGGGGGCCGGGGACCGGGATGCTGGGGTCCAGGCTCCCCGGGGAACAGACAAAACTAAGGATGGTGGAATTTGTTTTTCAGGAAGTTAAATCTCTTTGCTTTAAAGGACTTGGCTTTTTATTTTTATTTTTTAAAAGAGTCTGTCCTTCCTGCCTTTTTGGTGTTAAGGGATGCTTTCTTTCATACAATGAAGTGTTGGAAGATGACAGTTAGTTATCATTCACTTAGTCAGTTTTTAGGCTTTAAACCTCTTTAACTGGCAAACTCGAGGGGGGCAGGCATTTGAGGGGTCCCAGTGTTTTGGAAGGTCCATGGTGTCCCACAGCTGCGGTGGAGCCCGACCCTGTAGGAAGGGCCGGGGGTGAGGGAGCCCTGAGCCCCGGTGGGTGTGCCGAGGGGTGAGCCCCTGGGGGTCGCAGCCCAGGGGCCTTCGGATGGGAGGACAGTGGGAAGCCCAGGCTTGGCTAAGAGCACGGTAGACATTGGCCGGCAGCACAGGACCCTCCCCAAGATGCAGACTCTGCACACCCGTCTTGGCTCTGAGAGTAACTCAGGTCAGACTCAGGGGCGGGAGAAGAGGTGGCAGAAGGAACACGGGGCCCTGGCTCGGATCCCAGTTTTGCCTCCGGCCGGCACGGCGGCCCTGGACCAGGCCTCAGCCTCTCTGAGCCCCTCTGCCCGCTGCACAGCCAGGGCCGAGGCACCAGAGGATCTCCACGCCCTCTCCTGCTCCAGCTCTCGCTTGCTGCCACGCTAAGATGCTCCCAGTTTGGAGTCAGAGAGACCCGCAGTCCACGTCTGTACCTGGAGCTCGGCCACAGGGCCCCAGGCCAAGGCTGCAGTGAAAGTGAGCGAGACGGAGCCCTGGAGGCCCTGGGCGCACGGCCAGCACCGAGGAGCCGGCCCTTAGCCCAGGTCCCGCTGGCCAAGGGAGAAGCCCCAGCCGGCCAGGCGGACTCAGACTGGGCTGCGAGATGCCCCGGAGGCTCTTCCTGCCCGCCGAGGCCCCACGCCTCCCTGCGGGGAAGTCCGGGCGGCCTGGGCCTGTGTTCCTCCCCCGAGGCCTGAGAGTGGGGACACAGGAAGCCTGCCACCGAGGTGTCAGCACAGGACACGGTTGGCCTGCTGTGAGCCGGGGTTGGTTTCTAAGGCCCCCGCCGACCCTCAAACACCCCAGCTTCTCATGCTTCCACCCAAGTCTACACGCACACCCGGCTTGACCGGACCAGGAGGGGGCAAGCGGCACGGTGTTGGGGTCTCGGTTGCAGCGTGTCAGGACAGGTGGTCTTGACTTTGATTAGTGTCACTCACTTAACGTGCCCAAGCCTCAGTTGCCTCATCTGCAAAGTAGGGGTGTCAGCAGGACCCACCCTTCAGGTTGTCTAGGGTGGAAATGAGCTGACAAATGCTCAGCACAGGGCGTCCCCACTCGAGTCAGGGCTCCAGAGGTTTATGTTCTGCCATCCTCTTCCCCTCCTGCCTGGACAAGGGTAGGGCCCTGGCTGTCCAGAGGGACCTCTCTGCCAGCCCCGGGACTCTGTCTGACGTGTTCAGGTGGACACGCCCTTCCCCGGCTGCACCCTGAGCAGCCCCAGGCCCAACGGGGACATGATCGCGCACAGGCCCCCAGGGCCAGGGCCTCCTTCAGACACTGGACGACTAAGGGGTTTTAGAAAGGAACCCGCAGCTGGTGGCTGGTTCCTCCACTGCTGGGACAACTGGTGCATTCAGCAACACCCCCAAGCCGGGCAGTGGGGGAGTTGATGGTGACAGAGGGACCCAAACAAGTGGGGACACAGCTGAGTGCCTCGGAGGGCAAGGAGAGGCTGCTCGCGGGCGGAGATGGGGACTTCCTCTGCTCTGGGACCCGGAACGCTACTTCTGGGTGAACTGAAAGTCCTTCCTTGATTAAGACCACACCATATTCTTGGCTCCCCAAACAATGGCTTCCTCCGGCGGCCCAAAGCCTGGGTGCAGGGAAGGGCCCCTCCTGCCACATTCACTCCTCTTGGGGTTTCTGAGCTGGGCATCTTCGACCAGCACCTGTGCGGGGCGAGCTGGTCTCCTAACACGCCCACCGCCACGGGGCTCTGAGATTCCTTCTGGCTCAAAGAGCCAGACCCCTTCTCTCCTGGCCCCTGGGACCCAAGGAAGCCCCTGGCACCACAGCTCCTGGGCAGCTGGGGTGTGGGACCGGCCCCAGGGCAGGTCTGGGAGCTCCAGCACAGCAAACCCTGCCACGAGACGGGCTCCCGGAATCCCAAGGCCAAGGTCCAAGGTGGGTCTCAGCTGGACCCACCACCAGACGGGGCCAGGGGAAGAGTGTGCACTCGGGTCGCTCCGTGCTGTGCCGGTAGGAACAACCCACCCCCCTGCTGAGCCCCCGCCAAGCCCCTCCCTTCAGAGTCGCCTGTCCCTCTGCCATCCCCGTGCCCGAGGAGGGAGCGCGTCATACTCACAGCACGCAGAGCGCGTAGGCCCGGGAGATGGACTCGCTGGCACGCACGAGGAAGCTCCCATCTTTGCCCGTCCTGGAGAGCAGCTCCTCTGCCTTGGAGCGCGTGATGTTGCCGTGGTTCCAGCAGGGGACCATGGTGGACATGGGCCTCCTCTGGCCGGGCTGGCGGCCACCCCAGGACCGACACACCACCGAGCTGAGGCCCCTGCACTGCGACCTGCCGTCTGTCCCCTCTTGGTGGCCTCGGCTGCTGCCACCAGCTTAACTGACTGACTTCCTGTTTCAGGCGCTCAGCGAGGAAAGGAAACTGAGCTGCAGAGAACTTCCTCATTGCAGAAACCAAGCGGGGAGGGGGGTCCCTGGCCATGCACCTCCCCACCCCGCCCCTGCACTGGCAGCTGCCCGTCCCTCTGCTCTGTGGCTCTCTCCTTCCCTGTAACAGTCTCAGCCTCCAGCAGCGTCAAATGTCAGCAGAAGTCCTGCCTGCTGGGATTCTCAGCTCCTTGGCCATCGGGGGATCCGTGGCTAGCTTCTGAAGAAACGTGGCCCAGCAGGCGTGGATGAGCCAAAGGAGCGATGGCTGTGTGGATGGTCGCATGGATAGTCCTGCCCCAGAACAGGGCAAGACTGAGGGGGGATGGTGGACCCTGCCTCCCCCATTGCAGATGTCCAGACCCTGACCAGTGCGTGCTGGGAGACCTTGGCCGCCACTAGCTGAGGACTCTAAGGGCCCGGCGGATGGCTCTGTGATCTGTTATACTCTCTCCTATGGGCCGGTGTGTGCAGAGGAGCCTGGGGGCCACCATTCTCCATGGGCAGCGCTGCTCGGATCCCTGCAGCCCAACCAGAAGACTCACAAAGGGAGCTTGGCAGGCTGGGGACGTGGACCAGACACAGAGTGGACTCAGGCTGGGTTTTCCCCTCTGGACCTCTCCAGGATGCTGGGGAGACAAGCTAGGAGAGGAGACCCCACCACCTGTCAGGGGAAGCTGGCCGCTTGGCCAAGGGTGACACTCGATCCTCAGTCCCGCACCTCTGCAGAGTCCAGGTGGCCAGTCAGGCTGCGCCTCCTCCCAGGCTGGGTGTGGCCATGTTTGCCCACCGCTCAAAGGGGAGTTGCCTGGGGGGGGGGAGGGCGGGACCAGATTTCTGGGGCTCCAAAGCAGACACCCATACCTTAGGCCCCAGAGCTGGGTGCCCTCAGTCCTTGGGTCAGCTCCACCAAAGGTGAAGGGGCAAGTGCTGACCTACTGCTCCAGTAGAGGCCCCCCAATCCCATCTCCAGGCCAGACCCCTCCCCCACCCCCACTGGACATGACAACTGACCCCCCTCCAGGCAGCTCCGCCACATTCAAGCTGGAGACACTTGGTCAAGTGTCTTCTCTCTCTCGGCCTTGCTTTCCTCTTCTCTAACAGGAGGGACAGCCCCCAAAGGCGCGCACGTGTGGCGGGCTGGATGTGAGCTGCGCTGGTGGGTGTTCCGGCATCGGAGCCCCGGCCCCTCCCACCTGCAGCAGGTGAGTCTGCCAGGTGAGCAACGCGCTCTCCTCCACGGCCCTCTGCCCAGTGGTGATGACAGCTGGTCTCCACGGTCTGGCCCCCAAAGCCAGCTCGGTCCTGAGCACACAGCTGCCCCTGGCGCAGGCCCCTCAGTCCCTGCCCCACCCCTGCCCACACCCCCAGACCCCTGCACAGGGGAGCACCTAATTCTGCGCTTAGCAGGCTTGTCCTCACTTCCTTGCCAGCCTCCACCGACCATCATGAGCTTTGGGACACTCCAGGGTCCATCATGAGGACCCATCTGCAATACTGGTCCCTTCGGGCCCTGACAGACTCTCCTAGAGAGACCCTTCCACATCCAAGACTGCGGGTGTACAGAGACCACCCCACACCCCAGCCTTCCACCTGCCTCTCTCCCACCTCTGTTCTCGCTGTCAGCCAGATCCGACACGGGGCACACTCGGCACATACGACATCCCGAATTTTTACGGCCCATCCATCTTCACTTTCTTCCCTGCCCAATCGCCTGACCCGTCCAACCTGGCAGCTCTTTTTTTCTCCACCCTCTGCCCCCCACATTCAGGAATCCCCAACATCTAGGTCAGAGCTGCCCTGACAGTAGGTGGGGCCCGAGTAAATGGTCTTTTGCAGGGACCTGTCTATATAAACAATTTAATTAAGACGTATTATAAAATTCATGGACTGATTCACGTGAGACGTGATTTATCGATGGAGATTTCGAATAAAGGGAGGTAGTCACACACATGTCTGGCGTATGACTAGGGCTCACCCAGCGTCTGCAGGGCGCCCCGTCCTCCCTTCCCGTGCAGGCCCGAGAATCGCCTCCTCCTGTCTTGTACTGTCGAATGCACCATTCCCGGCTGAGTTCACATCGTGCACAGGGAGGTGAGGGTGTTATTCACAATGCCACGGCTGTGCCTGTGCAGGCAACACAGACCCCGGCCTCTGCACTCCCAAGCACCATTTATGTCGTGCCAGTTCTATCGCTGCTGGCAATGCCACTTTGTCTTTATGTGGCCCTGACCATGGCTCTCGGCAATTCCCTCCCAGGCCACTCCCGTGCCTCGTGGGTGACCACAATGCATGTCTTACCCACTGCACGAAAAAACCGTTTACAATAATTCATTTTCTTGTCATGCCAAATTTACTCTTCCAAATTTTATAGCATAAATGTAAAATAATGCATCTTCCAACCATATTACTGTGAACATTTTAGACCATAATCACCACATTCCTATACTGTGGTCCCTTTCGATGCTGATGCACCTCTGCCTTCCACGCACGACGGCAGCCCTGTCCCCCAGGAAGGTCCATCCTGCATCTGGCATGACTTCAGATCACCCTGGAGAGCTCAGTGTCACCACACGAAGGGGAGGTGACAGAGGGCCCGTGGTGTGGCAGAGCAATGTTCTCGACAGCTGTCGGAGGAGATGCTGCCTGACTCCTGGACAGCAGCGCCCAGAGGGGGCAGGTGATTGCCCCATGCTATTGACAGGGCCACAGAGCTGCCACCCTCCCCGCTGCCCTTGGTGCTCAGTGTCACTCAGAAGGAGTGACCTGCTCCCCAGGCTGCTCCCAGGAGCCACACCCAGCCATGGGGCCTCAGAATGATCTCATAGGTGTGAGTCTATGTTCTTTGGGACATCTGGTCAACCCCACATGCCGGGCAGAGGGTTGGAAAGCAGGTGATGGGAAGAAATGGGCTGAGCAGGGTGGGTCCCAGGCCCTGGCCAGGGCGAAAGCAGGTGGGGCCAGGTCCAGGCTAGGGCACCCCACCCAAAGGCACTGCCAGCCTGGACAGTCCCAGCTCTGGAGGGGGACTTTCTTGGAAACTTTCTGGGAGGTCAGGCACCTGGTCACAGTCATTCGGCCACCCCGAGAAGCCCCAGGAGGGGCAGACAGACCTCGGCGCTGGAGAAGCCAGCGCATGTGGCAGGCCCTCCACTTAGGAGGGCAGGTCACAGGAACATTTGAGCTCTGGGACAGGGTCAGGGCAGGCGAAGAGAGAGGCACAATGGAGACACCATCACGCTACTTGCCAGGGGCTCTCCTACCATGGGCAAGAAACAGAATGGTTCAGGGTCTGAGAAGGAGCCGACCCAGGAGATGGGGGCAGAAGTCCCTGCGCACACAACCCCCACTAGAACTACCTATCCGTCATCATGCTTCCTGCACCTCCTGTGCTCATCAAAGCCTGTACTGCACCCAGCAGCCCCAGTCCCCACCAGCCTGGGTAAGCAGACAGACACCACGCTGCTTGGGCGGGGGTGGTGGTAAAAGTGTTTACTCAGTCACCAAAAGCAAAGGAGCGATGATGGTTAATTCCATGTGTCAACTTGGCTGGGCCACAGTACCCAGATATTTGGTCAAACATTGTTCTAGATGTCTCTGTGAAGGCATTTTTTAGATGAGATTAACATTTAAATTAGTAGTTTTTGAGTAAGGCGGAACACTGTGAGTGCGGCTCATCCAATCAGTTGAAGATCTTCATAGAAAGAGACCGATCTCCCCCAAAGAAGGGAGAAGGTACCCGAAGACGTCTGTGGACCGGAACTGCAGCGTCAGCTCTTCCTGGGGCTCCAGCCTGCTGCCCCCACTGCAGAGTTTGGACTTGCCAGCCTCGACACTCCTATGGACCAAGTCCCTAAAATCTTTCTATCTATCTAGTCCCTCAGCCTGAGACCTGATGAAAAGACGTCCTGGACTGGAGAAGGGGCAGCAGCCACTCACAGGGAGCCTCCTGTAACCAAGCACCACCGTTCAGGGCCAAGGAGCCCAGGGCAGGTGGGCCAGCCCCCGGGTCCTGCACAGGGAAGACCACGGGGGAAAACCAGTCACAGACAGGAGCCAGCACGTTGCTCACTAGCTGGAGTCAGAGACTTTCACCACTAGTTTGACAACCCTCGTTTGATACCCCAGGTAGAGTGCCGTGGCATCATCATAGCTCCCTGTAGCCTCAAACTCCTGGGCTCAAGCGATCCTCCTGCCTCAGCCTCCCGAGTAGCAGGACTATGGGCACTCACCACCACACCTGGCTAATTTTTCTTTTTTCAGTCACTCTTGCTCAGGCTGGTCTTGAACTCCTGAGCTTAAGCGATCCTTCTGCCCCCAGCCTCCCAGAGTGCTAGGATTACAGACGTGAGCCACGGTGTCCAGCCGAGGACAGGATTCTTTTTACCTGTGACTACGAACTTGAAGGGATCAGGGACTGAGTCTTCTGGTTCCGGCCACCAGGGGGCCCTTGAACGCTGGCCTCTGTCCATGGACAAAGCTCCTGTGTGACTCTCCCCCTCGGTGGGTCACTTTCCCAGTTAGCACGGCCAACAGGAGCGGAGGCCCCTCGCATGGGGTCCGTGACTGTGCCCAAAGACACCTGTGGCTACTGAAGACCTGGCAGTGAGCGGCTCTCTCTCTGGTCACCAACGATGCCAGAAAGTCAAATGTGCTCGAATGGCACCCGGGAGGGCAGGAGCGACCGGAAGAGTTGGGTAAGAGAGAACTGTCAAGATTGTTGTTAAGACATAGGAAAATATTCATAATACAAAGTTAAGTGAAAAAAAAAAAACCGGAACCAGAGTGGAAAAAACTCAATCCTGGGAGCGCACTGACTATGAAGAGCGTTGAGTTAGCGTCACAGCTACGAGCAATTGTTTTCTTCCTTCTACTTTCCCAGCTCTCCTGTACTGACCATGTACTACTTTTATCATAGCAAAAATTAAATAAATAAACAATAAAATGCTGCCAGAAGAGTTTGGTTTTATGTGGATGGCTGGTT